AGTTCAAAGCCAGTTTGGGCTAGATAGTAAGTTCAAGGCCAGCCTGAGCTACATATGGAGATCCTGCCTCAGAAAACCAAAAACAAAGTCAAAATAAACTGTAGCAATAACCAAAAGGCTAGCATACATACCAAATATATTTGTGTGCTTTATATATATCTAAATATATCTAAAAACGGTATCCTAAGTTGAAAGAGACAGAGGTAGAGAGCAAATAAGAGGGGCACATGCTGAATTTTGAAATAGAGGGCAGACTTCAGGAGTGAGAAGACACAACAATGGTTGACAGCTTATTGGAACTTTGGTGATAAAGTCATGTTTGATTTTCTTTTAAACTTGACTGAGCTCAAATGAAAACCATCAACACCTGTTAATTTTAGGTGATGGAAATCTACTTCAAAATGTCTTTTTACCTATTCCCTGTAGCATTTCTACTTCTATCACAGGGGTAGATATCTGTAATTCCAGCACTAGGAAGGAAGGCAAGATGCCTGAGCGCTCGAGGCCAGCCAGGGCTACATAGCAAGATCCTGTTTCAAGAAGCAGGGGATGGGGATGAAACTTGTTAGTCTTCATTTTATCAGCTCCTGGTCAATGAGTCCGTCTTCCCCAAGACCATGACCTTCTAGACAACTGGCTTGATAGCTTTGTATGACACGTTGTTCTGTTCAGTGAGTAGTGATGCGGAGTCTGTGTGCCAAGGCTGTGCCAGAGACTGAAGAGACTGCAAACAAGACCGGGGCCTCACAAAGCTCACGGGGTAGTGGGGATCCTGCTAAGTGAGCAAGCAGTTTATGCATAGTGGGGAGCCCATCAGAGGAAAAAATGTAACAGAGCATCTAACAGGAAAGAGAGTGGTTTGGAGTTCACAGGGAAGGGGCTAGGAAAATCCCACACAGATCCAGACAAGTGGAGTTAGGCAAATGAAGGGGTGGGAGAAAGAATCTTTCCAGCTAAGGGGACAGTTTTTGTCCAAGAGGTTTAAGTCAAGTGACAGCATGGAAATTCAGGGTGGTGGAGTGGGGATGAAAGGTGGGTTTTGGAGAGGAGGTTGAACCAATTAGATTTGGTTGTATGGCTTCGTGATTAAAAGTAACAGGCTCTGACCAGGTGGAGTAGCATGCACGGGCCAGCACTCGGAGACCCAGCAGGAGGATCCAGAGTTTGAGGACAGGGCTGGGGGCACAACTCAAGTGGTAGAGCAAGTGTAAGGCCTTGAGTTCAAACCCCTATACAGAAAAAGAAAAAAAAAAAAAAAGTTTGAGAACAGACTGGGCTACATATTCTGAGCACAGGGCAGTCCTCAGGAAAGGGTGACCACTTCGGAATGGGTAATGCTTGAGGTGATATATAACTCTGGAATGTCTTATTTAAAAACAGAAAAGGCAATATAAGAACAACAACAAACCTTGTGATATTATAGGCAAAAGACTAACCCAACCAGAAGAACCAAATAATAGCCTTAAGAGTTAAGTGACAGATTTTCCAAAAAATTTATTTTCATAAATTAATACACAGAACAGTAGGCATTGTAGAGTCACAAACTACCAAACAGAAAAGGAACTGCAGAGGCATTGTGTATGCCAATGTTACCAAAAAATGTACAAATGTCACTCAGCTATCGACCATGATAATACAGAAACACTTGAGGCAGCAATTTACTGGCCCAAATTCCAGCTCAAGGAGATGCAAAGGCCTCTCGTCGAGAATTCAAATCTAATTCAGCACCAGAGGGGCTTGTGACGACAGCTGACAAGCGTTACGTCTGAGCATCTGTGCTGGACAGCAGGCTACGGGAGGTCCTCCACCTCAGCTTTCGCCGATCAGCGTGCAGCCAGGTGGGAACACTGAAGTGTGATTTTAGCAGAATTAAGTGTCTTTCCCTAGCCAGCTTTATACAGAAGTTCAATTCAGACAAGAAGCTCTCTACTGGACACTCTGTACCTCTGGGCAATTATCTATACTTTGGATACAGCCACCCACAGTGTGGTTATCTAAAAGGTCCTTTCCATGATACCAGGGGAAAAGCTTACAGAAACAAAACAAGGGTATTAAAGAAAGCACCAACTACATACTTCCCAGGTAATGAGAGAAAGTATCACTGCCTAAAAGTTGCTCTTTCGCAGATCTTAACATACAAAGTATAGATGAGATGGAACCCCAGCTTGGAGATGACGTGATAGCTCTGCATCCACTCAGCCACATGGCAGCCCCCGGGACCTGATGCTGCAGTCCCGTACACTCGCTGCTGCTCTTAGCCTGGTTGGCAGGAGATGAGCCCCTGGGGGGAGAGGGGAGATGAAGGATGCCCAGAGAGTGGGATCTGGAATTGACCTCAGGTTGGCTCTAGAGCCCATGCAAAAGACCCTTTCAGGCAAAATTGTGACAAAATGTCATGATTTTCACAGCTCTTAGAGGAGCACTGAGTTTTGGGATTCACAGCATGAGTTTCTGAGCTCATCAGGCTCCGAGTAAGGCAAACACCACGTCTTTTCACTGCACCTCCCTCAGCCATAGCTCTTAGAGCAAGCTTGGAAGAAAAAGTGGACACCATCTGCTTTACACAGGTGATGAGGTACGTCCAAACAAAAGAGAAATGAAGCTGGAGGAGACTAAGAGATTCGAGGGGAGGTGGTGGTACAGCTAGAAAACTGAAAGATGCAAAGGAGATGGACACAACCCTGACTGGACCTGAGACGTCTCCTCTCTTTTCCCATAAGCACTAACGCTACACTTTTGAGGTGAGTTCTAGTTAAGTAGGATGTACTTAATAGTAACTTCCCACCACTTGGGGTGGATCAGAAATTGTCCCAATTCCCAGCACAGAACAGACCTCTTGCAGCTGACTAACGCCTTCCATCATGGTCAGGGACCAAGAATTCCAAGGACACTGACAGCCCTGAGGCTGGCTGATCAATGCTGAAAACTGGATGTTAAGACAGGCTTCGCTAGAACCTAATGGATCAACTTCAGGTAATTAAGTCTGCAATGGGCCCTTTCTTAACTCTGGACCAGAGGGTAGGCCAAGGACAGGCCAGGCATGGTGGTACACACCTGTAATCCCAGCATCTGAGAGGTCAAAGCAAGTTCCAGACCAGCCTGGGTCACACCGCAAGTTCCAGGCCAGCCTGGGCTACAGAGTGGGACCCTGTCTAAAGATCAAAACAAAACGAGAGGAAAAAAAACTAAAAGACTTTCAAGGACAGGTGGGGTTGGCCTTCGAACAGCTTCTCCCTTACGTTCCCAGGATAAGGAAAGAGCCAGGTTTGTTTCTCTAGCCTCTGTTCTGAAGAGCCAAGGATCCAAACTACTCCCAGCTCTTTCAAGGACCACACCTACAATGGGCAACTCGAAAGGTCTGTCATGTTGGTGACACCACGGCCATGCCCACTTCCACATCCATCTCCTGGGTGACCTGGCTGCCCCAGTGCTGCTTCAGTGTAGCTGAAGTGTTCTGTAGACTCCCAGCTAATGGGCAAGCTGAGCCCCTAGACAAGCATGCACAGGGTACAATGTACCATGTATCCCGCTCCCTGCGGCCAAAGGACAGAGTAGCACTGAGTGCCTAAGAACCCTTTGCCAAGAAGGGGTGCTGAGGTGCAGTACAGGTCCTGTCCACATGGTCTGGACAAAGTGGATGGAGAATGACAGAATCTGGTCTGCATTATTCAGAGCCAGTGTGGAAACCTGGCACTCCCTAATCCTATGGGTCCATGGCCTTGGAATGACCAGGTGTGTATCTCACTTATTGAAACACGACATCTCAGGTGGCAGGCCTGGGAGAGACTTCCTGCTCATGTCAGTTTTTCTGCTCCAGCGTGGCACAGACTGTCAACTTACAAAGGAAAGGCACATAGAGACCCCCAGCCCACCCCATCTCCCCACCCAACAACAAATGGGGAATGCAAGGATCCTAGGAGAGTTGGCCAACATTCTAGGATGACACCACTTGTGCTTCTCTACAGACTGGCTAGGAAATATTCCTGGAGCTCTGATGGTTCCATTGGTGGCTGCTTTGTAGCAGTGACTCCTGGGAGGATGGGAAGAAGTGACCAGTGTCCTGGGGGCTGGCTTGAGCATCTTCTCACCAGCCAAGGAATGTTCTTTGAATTCTTATTTTAAAAAAGAGAGAGAAAGCAAAAACAAAGCGAAAAGAGAACACACAGGGAAAGGGGAGGAAGGGGGAGGGCAAGGGCGCAAAGGGATTCACTGGGAAAGGAATGAGACCTCTGGGCCTACTGCCTATAGACTCTTGTAGGCACAAACCCAGAAAGTCAGCTACTTCTGGCATTCGACATTTCCAGTAGGTTTGACACAGATCCAGAGTACACGAGGCGCCCTCAGAAAGGGCTAGTTGTGGAATTTCAGGATCCCACTGCAAGAATGTCTCAGAGTCTGAAGTATGACCCACTTCTGGAGCAAGTCACTTGGACAGTTGCAAACACTCTAGGTCAGCCTCTTTGCTACCGGAGTCACTGTGCCCAATTTGGTTACACACCAACATTGCAGATAAAACCACACTCATTCTTAGCAGTTTAAAAATGATTGAGAAAGAAATCTGCTCTTAGGTCACTAAAATAAATACATGGAATTAGTGGCAAGAATGAGATGCAGGTAAAAAATAAAAAGCTCTGCCTCTAAGGAGCGACCCCTGAAGCTGGAGGTGGGCAGGACTGCTTGGAAACACAATGAGGAAAATGCTTCCTCCATGCAGGGATGACCCGGGTCAAACGCCTGTCACATACTCTCTTAAGACATGTATTGTCTTTCTCCTAATGTCTTGAAAAAAATGTTTAAAAATCACATTTATAGGCCCCAAACATGTAGCAGTAACACAGACACACCAAAAAAAAAAAAAAAAAAAAAAGGAGAAAGAAAAGGAAAAGAAAAAAAATAAAACAAATGATAATAAAAAGTGCAACTTACTTTGAATGGGGCCTGGCCGGGCTCCTGTGGCACTAGTGACCCACAGTCACAGATGGGAGAAGATGTGAGAGAGAGAGAGAGAGAGAGAGAGAGAGAGAGAGAGAGACACACACACACACACACACACACACACGTGTCCTGGGCAGACAGACTCAAAGGATTAGAAAGCACAACAGTTCATCTTTTCTCCATCACCGGAATGAACCGGTGAGGCCACACAGGACAGGAGGCCAGGGCCCCTTCCTAGGCCATGTTTCTAAGTAGTCCTGGTCTAGCACCACCGTAAACAAAGCAGAACTTTCATGTGAGTCCTTGGAATCCTAGTGTCGCTTAAGACGTGCAGCCTCTTCCTGTGGATGGCAGAGCTGGGAGGAGGTGGCCAGGCGTCATTCGGGACCATTTCCAGGAGGAACGGAGCATTCCTGAGGTTCTATAGTCAGCAGCAGAAGACACTCCTTCACCAGTTTCTAAAAAGGCTGCACCTCAAAAATGGTAAAAATTCACGGACTGGGCATCGTGAGTGGTTTGGGCATAGGGCAAAATTAGGGAACCTCTTCCAGGGAGGTCCAAAAAGATCCAAAATGGAAGCAACCAAATTGCTTCTCAACAGCCTGCAGACTGTTCCTGCTCTTCTTCCTTGGCGAAGAAGGTCTCTAGTTCCATCAGCTTCTGTATCAAAAGAGCATCCAGCTCTCGACCCTGCAGAGCTGCCTTCTGGGCCCTGGTGAAGCTGCCAGCCAACTTGACTTTACCTCGGGCTCTCCTCTTTCGGGGAACTGTAAAATCCTGAAATTCTAGAATTCGCTTCCTTTTCTGTTGGCTTACTGAGATTAACGTACCATTTCGTTCCTTGGGTTCCTCAAAGATGGTCTCTAAACACCTGAGGATGGGCGCACAAAACAAAATCACCAACAGATGGACTCCCATGACGCATGTGGGTCACCAAGCCTTCTATTCAACAACATGAAATCCACCTGCACTAACAATTCCTGACTCAACTGTTTCCTCTGCCAGGGATCTATCTTTATGCATGGAAAATAACAGAGATATGTTTATGAACATGTGTCTGTGTACAGAGTGAATAAATTAAAACTGGATGAAGTACACAGAGCAAAAGTGAGACTAGCCGCCGCCACAGACAGTACCAAAAACTTTTTTTTTTTTTTTTTTTTTTTGAGGCAGGGTCTTGGTCTGTTGGTGGGAACCCAGATCTGCACAGACCTACTGCAGGGATTTGTAGGATGTGGGTAGGAACCCTTTCACTGAGGACCCTTGGGTGGGAACCCAAGAGACTCAGCCCACTGTCAGTCACAACTGCACAACTCAGTTACGTTTTCTGTTTATTTAGTTGGTGACTTTTCTATTGAACCAAAGTTCTCTTTCTTTACTGATATTTCAAACACAAGTTTCAATCACATTATTCTTACTAAATTAAAAGTATTAGATAAAGGCCAAGTATAACAATAAACTTAAGCAGAATGCCTAATCATAGGCAGCGTGTAAGTATTTTGGGGAGGACACCCTGGAGGAACTGATGTGCAAACACATCAATGTGTCTATGATTTATGGCACTTAGGAAAACAAATTCAAACCTAGGCCTTAGAATAATCTACTTTTAACCTAGGGAGGGAGTGTCCTGTCTGAGCCAGGAAGCAAACTGATGTGGATTGGGACTGTCCTTAGGTGTGCGGGGCTGGCAAAATTTATGTCCACCTCATGCCAGATACCTCCAGGGTTCACATTTCTTTTTTTTTTTTTTGAGATAGGTCTCACTATGTTGTCCAGGCTAGTCTCAAGCTTGTGATCCTTCTGCCTCAGCTTTCTGAATGCTGGGATTACAGACGGGCACCACTACACCTGGCCTAATAACTCATTTTTTTGTATACCTCCCCTCCCCCAAAGTCACTCAATGAAAGACATGTATTACTAAGTACTGGTCCTTTTCTGTTGAAGGGTCAGCTAGCTAATCTTTGAAACTCTTGTGAGCTATATATAGGTCTCTATTACAAATTCCTTTTTGCTTTTCACCTTCCTCCCTCTCTCATTCTCTCCCTTCATTATTATTATTTGTAAACTAGAAAGTGTTAAAACCATTTAGGGGACGGGAATGTGGTACAAGTGACAGAATGCTTGTTCAGCAAGCATGAGGTTCTAAGTTTGAACCCCAGTACTACCAAACAAATAAAAGAAATTCCTATAAACCACTTATTAGCTTATGGGCCAAACAAACAAAAACCAAAAGGAATGCTGGGGGCTAGAGGGAACTCAATGACAGAGCACTTATCTATAGAGCATGTGCCAGGGTTGATCCCCAGCATGCCAAAAAAAAAAAAAAAAAAAAAGCCCTTCCGGATTTGGCTTGTGATTTGCCTGTCCATTGGGTTGGCATATATCTCTAACAGTAGCAAGCTGCATACACTGTCCAGACACTGGGCTTCTATGACCTATCAAAGACCTTTAAGCTCGTCCAGTTTACTACAAGATATCTGATTCATTTCTCAATGACTATGCAGTGTATTGCACTATACGGAATACATGATGGCCCATATTTAAGGAGAAGCCTAGTAACAGGTATTTTAGGTTGTTTTCAATACTTTCCTTTTTTTTTTTTTGGTGGTACTGGGGTTTGAACTCAGGGCCTTCACCTTGAGCCACTCCACCAGCCCTTTTCTTGTGAAGGTTTTTTCAAGATAGGGTCTCATGAACTATTTGCCCAGGCTGGCTTCAAAACGTGATCCTCCTGATCTCTGCCTCCTGAGTACCTGGGATTACAGGTATGAGCCAGTGGTACCCAGCCTTTCCTCTTCTTTAGCAATGCTGCAGTTTGAGTATTCTTGTACAAATGTCTTAGAGTAGATGTGCAAAATCCTAGGATAAAGACCTAAAACTCCCCTGTTATATCCTAGACAAAACAGGCACTTTGTAAATGTCACTGACTTGAACTGAATGCAGAGCCAAATGTGGCCAAGTGAAACTGTTTCTGCACTTTGGGGTGGAATCATGTCAAGACATCTGAGGAGGCCAGGTGCTTGGGACTCACGCCCTAACCCTAACTGCTTAGGAGGCTGAGATCAGAATGACTGCTGTTTGAAGCCGGCCTGGGCAAGCAGTTCACGAGACCCCATCTCCAAAATAACCAGAGCAAAATGGACTGGAGGTGTGGCTCCCAGTGGTAGAGCACCTGCTTTGCAAGTACAAAGCCCTGAGTTCAAATCCTAGGGACACAAAAAAAAAAAGAAAAAAAAAAAAAGAAGATCTGTGATGGACAGTGCAGGAGAAGCAGACAGGGTACAACACAACTACAAACTGAAGACGACTTCTGTTTCTACCTTGTCCCACACTCATTCCTTTCCTATCTTTCAATGACCCCAATTCAAGGGTTGGGAAGTAAAAACACCAATTCTAGCTATTTCTAAGACCCAGTACTGGTAGAACTGAACACAGCCCTTTCTGAAGTGAAGGACAGGAGACTTGCAGCCATTATTTCACAACCCCCCCACGCCCCCCATTCCAGCCACATGGACCTACCTGTTTGCAGGAGGAGACTTATAATTCTTATTGGTATATATTTCTTCTAAACTAAACTCTTTCTTCTTTAACCTGAAAAAACAAAAGACCAAACTCTTGATGTCGTCTAAAGAGAACGTACAGTGCTTCCCCGACGTTACCGCTAACATTCATTCAGTTTTGTCATTTTGTACGTAAGTTAGAGACATAAAGATGAGGCAGAGAGTTAGGAAGCCTGATAGCTGAAAACCACGGCTTGGATGCTGATAAGGAATCACATTCTTCATGCTGATGTGAACAGAAAGGCTTGGGACATACAGTAGGGTCTTGCTGACTTGCAACCTCTGCAGCCCTCAGAAAAACCTCCCCCCACTGCCTGACATGTGGGAGGAGTTGATGACAGACAGCCCAGACTCTAAGAGTTAATGACACATAATCCAGTTTTCTAGAACTCAGCACTCCCCTCTTTATAGACCCCAGTGAAAGACTGAGGTCTTGGGACCCCCCAGCACAGTGCTCCTTCTTGAGACTGCCCCCCACCCCGAGGGTGCACATTTTCTTTGCTTTACATAAGTAAATGTGCCAATCCTCAGTTGGCCACAACAGCAGCAGCACTCACCTGTGCTCAGCTGCCCACTAACTGCCTGGGTCCTAATAAACTTGCTTCTCCTGCTTGTCTCTGTAAATCCCCTTACCAATCCACAGCATTGAAAATCTACAACTTTAAATGGATATTATGTAGGGGGTTTTCTCTCCCAGGTTGCCAATCTTGCCCTGAATGAAACTTGGTGCATGTATGGAGTTACCAGGAATATGTTTGGATTTCTATCTGTTATCTCATTCTCTTGGTCCCATCTTTTCAGCTTTTTCCTCCCATGCTGGGGATGGAACACAGGGTTGCAAATATTATGTAGGTTCTCCATCCCTGAGCTACACCCCCAGCTCTCAGTTTCTCTCCTTTTCCCTTAATTGATGGCTTTCTCTTTTCTCTTGCAGTGCTGGGAATCAAATCCAGGGTTTCATGAATGCTAGGCAAGTGCTCCATCACTGAGCTACATCTCAGACCATTCTTTCTCACTTCCCTCTCATAGCTTACATATCATACGCTCTTTCAGTGGTTGGCATGCATTTTAATGAGCACACAGAAAGTTATACCCTGAAGTGAAAGCAACATGTTGATCCTGTTTTCAAACAGTTTACGGTACTTGGAACTTTTCTCATCAATACTGTCCTAACTTATGCTATTAGTGTTCTTACGTTTTTTAAAGCAAATATTTTAGTATAGTACGATAAACTACAGAGAAGTAGGGGAAATAGAAATATTTCCTGCTCCCTTTCCAGGAAATGGGAATAAAAGATTCCCCCATCTTACTTTCTATTTTCACTTCGTAACTTTTTTTTTTTTTTTGGTGGTAGTAGGGATTGAAATCGGGCCCTGTGCTTGCTAGGCAGGCGCTCTACCACTTGAACCACTCTGTCAGCTTACTTTGTAACTGATTTACAGGTCAGGTCATTTGAGTTGTCTTTCCAAGTCTAGATTTATTTCCTCCCTTCCTTCTTTCTCCTCCCCACTCCCGCCTTCCTTCCTCTCTTCCCTCCCTCCCTCCCTCCCTCTTGCAGTACTGTAACCATGCCCCCAGCCCTTTTGATTTTATATTTTGTGTTTCGAGACGGAGTTTCACTAACTTTGCTTGGGCTGGCCTTGAACTTGCAATCCTCCTACCTGTGCAGCTCAAGTAGCTGGGATTACAGGCATACACCACCACACAAGCTTCCAATGGTGTTATTTTAACATGCCACAGTTTATCTCAAACATGAGAAATACTATAGCGCTATAACTGTCAACTAAACATAGAAAAATGATCAGATTTGGGAACTGGGTCTTTTTTTTTTCTTTTCTTTTTGATACTGGAGTTTGAACTCAGGGCTCTGTTCTTCCAAAGCACTCTACCCCTTGAGTCACGCCTCTAGTTCATTTTGCTGTGGTTATTTTGGAGATGGGGGTCTTGAAGACTATTTGCCAGGGCTGGCCTTAAACTGTAATCCTCCCCATCTCAGACTCCCAAGTAGCTAAGATTACAGGCGTGGGCCACTGGCACCCAACTGGGGCATCACTTTTTATAGCGTTTGCACATTGTGGTGGCCGATGCTATCATTTTCTCAGGTTTGGAAATGACGACAATCTGTCGTTCCTTCTTTGTTCATTAAGTACAATTCTTTTAACTAAAAAGAAACTTCATGCTCCTCAATTATTTGGTAAATTGGAGATACAGTCTGAATAAAGGAAGACCATATGCTTGGTTCATATTTAGCATTTCATGGGGTCAAGTCCTAACTTGATTCCCAGATTCACTGCTTCCGTGGTTCTGATCATAGCACTAGCTAACAGCATTGTGTGGCAGATTGCTGATTACAGCTTCACAATACAAACAGAGCCCATGTCCCCCACCAACTCTTGGGCACTTCAACAACTTCCACCATAAATGTGAGGTCGCCAACCGAGCATCTAATATACCTGATCTCCAGCCTTTTCGCATGCATTAGAGAACACATCGTGAATAATGAGTGGGTAGCCATATGAGATTTTTTTTTTTTTTTTTTGCCATTGGGTTTTCCACGTTGTCCAGTTCAATCCTGGCCTTAGAAGCCACTGGCCTAGAAAACAGGGCAGTGGTGCTGGTCACTGCCACTGGCTCCAATACCAGAGATCACAGGCAGCCTGTGGGGCTGCAAGAAGGCTGTCACGTTGCTTTGAGCCTGCCTTCCTGGTAGTATTCTTGATGAACAAAAGCTTTAATTTGAGGAGGCCCAATTTGTCTTTTTTTTCCCCTTGTGTTGTTCATGCCTCCCATGTCATGTTCAAAAAGCCTAATCCCTAATCATTCTGATTTATACCTGTTTTCTTCAAAGCGTGTCACTGTTTTAGTTCTTATAACTAGGTCTTTGATACACTGAACTAATTTTTGTATATGAGTACCCACGTTTTATTGGCGGTACTGGGGTTTGAACTCAGGGACCCACACTTGCTAAGGCAGACGCTCTTCCACTTAAGCCATTCCAACAGCATGGGTATTCAATTTTACATGCGGCCATCTACATGCAAAGGTCGCCTCAAACAAATGTGTGTGTGTGGTACTGGGGTTTGAATGCAGAGACTCGCACCTGCTAGGCAGAGGCTCTACCACTTGAGTCATGCCCTTTAACGTCACTTGTTGAAGAGACTTTTCTTTACCCATTGAAATAGTCTTAGTGCTTTTGCTGAGATCAACTGACCTTAGATGTGTATTTCTGGACTTTAATTCCATTCTATTCATTCATAAATCTATACTTATGCCATGACCACACTGTCTTAATTTTATGTGTGTTTTTGTTTTTCTGCAGTACTAGAGCTTAAGCCTACACCTCAAGCCACTCCACCAGTCCTTTTGTTTTTTTTGTGTGTACCTTTGAGATAAGGTCTCTTGAACTATTTCCCCCAGCTGGCTTCAAACCTCGATCCTCCTGATCTCTGCCTCCTGAGTAGCTAAGATTACAGGCGTGAGCCATGGGCACCTGGCATGTGTGATTTTTTTATTGTAGAAAACTATATAAAACATACAATTTGCTATGTAACTTTTTGCTTGTTCATTTGGCAATACAGGGGTTTGAATCAGGGCCTTCTATTTGTTAGGTAGCGGCTCTACCACTTGAGACTCTCCCTTAGCCTGTTTTGCTTTATTTTTTGGATACGGTCTGACGCTTTTTGCCGGGGCTGGCCTTGGACTGCATGTGACATTCCTAGCTATGCCACTTGTGTAGTTTGGAGTCTGCCATGTACCACCACGTACACTTGCTTGTTTGGTGGGGGTCTTGCTAAATTTCAGCCAATGCTGGCTTTGAACCTCAATCCTCCCAATCTCCATCTGGAGTAGCTGGGATTGCAAGTGTGAGCAGCAGGGCGTGGCTGGTTGTTTTTTGAGATAGGGCTTCGCTCTGTGGCCCTATGAACTCATGAGCTTCCTGCCTCAGCCTCTGGAGTGCTGGGATTACAGACATGCACCAACACATGAGGCCATTCTAGTTATTTTTAACTGCACATGCAATAAGTTTTCAAATAAGGAAGTGTGAACCTTCTGCTTTCTTTCTCAAGATTGCATTAGCTGTTCTGAGTCACTTCTATTTCAATGTAAATTTTAGGATCAATTTCTGCAAAAAAAGGTAGTTAGCATTTTGACAGGGATTGCAGTGAATCTGTGGAATGTTCTGAGTGGTAATATCAACTGAGTGATGTCAAGTCTCTCCTCAGTCTATGAAGGTCTCTAACAAGGCCATTTATTTAGGTCTCTAACAAGGCCTTTTAAACTTTTTTATTCTACTGTAAATAGTTGTTTTCCTTAATCATACTTTTGGGCTGTTCAACCCTAGTATACAGAAATACAACAGATGTCTGTCTTCCTCCATACTGATCTTGTGACCATGCTGAATTATTCACTAGCTCTAAGAGTGGATTTCTTCCACTCTTCCACATACAAGCCATTCTCACTAGTGAATCCTTTCCAGCATTCATGCTGCTTATTTTATTAATTTATTTTTTGTGGTGTCTGGGTCTTGCTAACTTTTTGCGTGTGTTAGGCAAACACTGTACCACTGAATTACAGTGGTATAGTAACCACTGAGTTACATCCTAGCCCAATATTTTATTTTCTTGATTTATTGCCCAGGTTGGAAGCTCTAGTAGAACGATGCATAGAAATGGTGAGAGCAGGTATCTTTGTTTCATTCTTGATCCTGGGGGAAAACTTTCAGTCTTTATTATTAAGTAGGATATTTTTCTTATAGTCACACTCAGTCTTTGCATAGGGTGCAAAGTGTATATATATAAACTTAAGTTGTGATTATTTACAAGGCTGCTTTATGTTTACTGTTAAGGAGGTGCAATCACAGTGACTTGTTAGAAATATCCTGAAATAACACCTTGTACACCCCAGGAAACTAGCATAGTAAGGGGCATTTCCTTTGTTTTTTGGGTGGGACTGAGATTTGAACTCAGGGCCTTGGACTTGCTAGAGTAGTGCTCTATCACTCCAAACATACCACTAGCCTTTTACTTTGGT